ACGTCCGTTATGCAATTGAACTTCTGTGAACATGGTAGCTCTTCTACAAAATCCATAGTGATTATGTCCCGAACTTGTTTAGGAATGGGAATTGGTTCCAGCAAGTTAATAGCACTCGTATTCTCTAAATTTTGATCTAAATTTTACTTTGATCTCTAAACTTTAAAAGTTTTAATCAAATCCCTAATTATCCAAAGTTATATTATTTTGATTCTTTCGTCCATGAAATCGTCTAAATTAATAATAAATACCAACTAGCAACATGTGATTACATCAATTAACATGTTGTGTGACAGATGGAAAACCAAAATAGAATTCTCTCAAAGTTTTATGAATTAAAGATGAAATTATTTCAAAATTTTATATATTTCATATGCATTTTATAAAATATAAAATATAAAATTATATTTTTATATTTTTTGATGAAATATAATTTATTAGTTATATTTTTTTAATATAAAACAGTTTTTTAAAATTAAAATTAAATTAAATTTCAAAATTTTTTTAAAATTCAATATCATTTTAAAAATAAAAAATTATTTTCTATTAAAAATATTATTTTACTCATAAATCATAATAAAATATTTTTTCTATCCATGAAATATATATTTTAAAATAATAAATATCTTTTATTTTCCTTTTTCAAATATATTTTATAAAAAAATAAATAAAGGAAAAGATAAAAATAATTCAAGAAAAAATTACTTTTAAATATTTCAAATATATTTTATAAAATATTATAATTTTTATTATGATACGACTTATCAATAAAATAATATTTTAATAGAAATTACATTTTTAAAAATTCAAAATTAAGTTGAAATTTTCAAAATAATTTTGTTAAAATTACATATCATTTTAAAAATTTGAGCAAAAGTTTTTAATTGATTTAAGAAATTAAATAAAAACTCTATATCATGTTAAAATATTATGTAAAAATTTTCAGATCATTTTCAAAAATATATTTATTAATCTATTCAAAAATATAAAAATTTTATATTCATATAAAATATAAAATATAATGTAAAATATTTTTCCTTTTTTCTTTTTTTATAAGATGTATTTTATAAAATATATTTAAAAAGAAAAAATAAAAGTTATTTAATATTTTAAAAAATAAATTTTTTGGATTAGAAAATAATATGTTTTTAAAAGGTATTAAATTTTTAAAAAAGGAATTTAAAATTTTTAACTTAATTTTAAGTTTTGAATATTTGTTTCCTATTTAAAACAAAATTCTATCTAATAAGTTATATTATAACAAAAAAATGCAAATATAACTTTAAATTTAATATTTTTATAAGACATGTATGAAATATATAAAATTTTGATATAGTTTCATCTTTGCTCCCTAAACTTTGAGATAATTTTATTTTAGTCCCTCATTTGACACATAAGAAGCTAACTAATGATATCACTTGATGTCAATTGGCATTTGCCTTCAATTTAAACGGTTCTATAGATGAAATAACCAAAATAGGATAACTTTGATTAATTAGGGATGCAATTAAAATTTTTTAAAGTATAGAGACCAAAGTAAAATTTGACTCAAAATTTAAGAACTATGAGTACTATTAACCCTAGTAGCAACTACGGAACAGCAATGTGTTCATCCTAGTTCCTCTAACAAACTTCACATTGCTGGATATAGTGCTGTACTTGTCTCATCATTCCAAGCCAATGGAAATAAAGCTTGAGCTTGTAATATGTAGCTTGGATCCCATAGTGGCCTCCCCTCTCTAAGGAGAATCATGAAGTAATTGCAATACTTGAAATCTCAAGTGTTTGTGGTCTCCCAAATAAACTTTGTCTTTGTCTTTGTACCTACGTTCTCTATTAATGAATGAGTACTGAGGGTCACCTGTAGGATTCATAGTTAATGAAGCAATCTTTCCCTGAGCCAATTCATCCCCTCTGTAACTTTGTTCGATATCAACCACACATTTTAGAATTATAGTAGTATTGTTCAGGCTTTTTAAAGTTCCAGCTACCTCATTTTGTTTTGACAAGGCATCTGCTATTAGACTTGGTAATCTAAAACACAACAAGATAATACGACACAAACACAATATGAAAATAGGACATGAAGGTAATACCGCTTAAAATTTTAGTAATAACTATATATGAGTTTAATAAAACTAAAAAATATTTTATATTTTCGTGTCGACATGAATTGTGACACATAATTTTCATATAAAATATGACACAAATATATGAATTTTAATATTTTACATGATACAGATACACAAATCACTAGATCTATTTGCTATTACATTTGTTTTTCCCTTCTTATACTAGATTAAGTAATTTAACCCCAACAACTCAGTCAATCCTTTTTTATATAGTTATAGACAGTTTCTGCTTAAGCAAGTACTTAAGAGCTTCATGATTTGTCTTAATGATGAATGGACGCTTTTCAAAATAGTTTCTTCATTTAGTCACAACCATTAAAAAGGCTAAATGTTCCTTTTTGTATATTGATAACTCAATGTGTCTTCTTTCTTGGATTAATACTGCCCCTATGCTAGTAGTGTAGGCATTTGTTTCCAAGCAAAAAGTTTTTGAAAAATCAGGTAAGGACAAAACATGTGCAGAACACGTAGCTTCCTTAAGCTATTTAAAAGATTCCAATGCTTGTGAGATCCAAACAGATCCATCCTTCTTCAACATGTTTGTTGAGGGCTTGCTCATCATATCATATCCCTTAATGAATTTCCTGTAATAGCTAGTTGACCCCAGAAAATCTCTCAAGGATTTCAAGCACTTAGGTAATGACTAATTCCTCATAGCTTCCACCTTTGAGGGGTCAGTAGCAACCCCTCATTCTGAAAAGATGTGTCTAAGGTACTCAACTTGTTTCTATCCAAAAAAGCATTTGCTTTTCTTGGCAAACAGCTGATTGAGTCTCAACACTTCAAAAACAAGTTTTGAGGGTGATATATGTTCTTCTAGAGGAAGATTGTAAACAAGTATTTCACCAAAGAAAGCTAATACAAATTTTTCTTAGATAATGTGAGAAAACAACATTCATCAATGATTGAAAGGTGGCTAGTGCATTAGTAAGCCCAAAGGGCATTACCTTGAATTCATAATGTTTTCATCTCAAACTCTGATATGCTAGTACCCTGATTTCAGATCAATCTTAGAGTAATATTTGGCTCCCTTAAGCTCATCCAATAAATCTTCTACCACTAGAATTGAAAATTTATTTTTTATTGCCATAGCATTGCATTGTTTGTAATCAATGCATAGTCTCCAGAAAACCATCTTTCTTTTTGACTAATAGGTAAGGCGAGGCAAAAGGACTTTAACTAGTTTGGATAATTGATGATGATAGCATTTTTTAAATTTGTTTTTTTATTTCAACCTTCTGGTGGTAAGGAAATCTGTATGGTCTGAGGTTCACAGGCTGAGCTCCCTCCTTTAGAGGGATGCCGAGGTCATGGGATCTTCTGGGTGGTAATTTAATTGGTTCCTCAATAATGTCAAAGTAGGCTTGCAACAAATCTCTTAATTTTGGTGGAGTTTCTTCATCCTTTATACCATCCATGTTGATCACGTAAAGCTATCTAAGTATGAATCTTTACTCTTAGCTTTTGCAGCTTTTTGCTTGAAATGAGCTTAAGTTCTGGTTGCTTCTGACCTCTTTCAAGGGTAATTTGTTGCCTCTTTCTAGAATGTATAGATAATTCATTGAAGTTGAACACTATAGGATTGAATTTCTTCATCCAATCGACCTGCAAAACCATGTCGTTGCCTCCCATTGGTAAGACCCTTAGATCATGAGAAAATTTATGCCTCTGTATCACCCATGATAGTTCTTTACACCTGGCATTGTTGTAAATTTTATCACCAGTAGCTATTGTAATAGCTAAAGGATTAGTTTGCTCTACCTCAATACCATCTTTGGCCCATTTGGAATGACGAAGCTAGGAGTATTGCCACTGTCCTTTAGGATATTAAGAGGTTTTCCCCTGATGGTTCCCTTAATCCTAATAGTACCATGCCCAACGCTACCAGTTATGGCATTTATAGATATGTGCAAGCTTTCAAGGTTATGATGTTCCTCTTATAAGTCCAAATCACCATCATCAATTGCAATTTCATTCCCTTCTCCTATGTGCACCTCATCAGCCATAAGAGCATTGAGCTATTTTAACTTGCATGCATGTTCAGGAACAAATATCTCCTTACACTTGAAACATAGATTTTGTGCATTCCTTTGCTCTATAAGTTATTGTCTGGTGGTTGTAGGTGAAGTGTTTTAGATTGGTTTAGATGTTTGGTGGTTTATAAGGTTGAGTACTTTAGGATATGGTCCAATGGTGGATTTGGATATAGGTTTTGGGTACTGTTTCAACTTTTTTTGTTCAAACTTCAGTGATAGCTCATGAAGTTTAGCTTGTTTATAGGCCGTAAATAAATTGCTAAGGTCATTAGCCTTGACCCTGAACTTCAAATCCTCCTTAAGTCCACTAATGAAGTTGGACTCAAAGTAGTTTTCAATCAAATAAGGATCGTATTGCAACATATATGGCCTAAGTTCTTTAAATTTCTCTTGATATTCCTCTATAGAACTCTTTTGAACCAACATGTTAAATTCCTCCACCACATAAAAGTAAGTTCTATCACTAAACCTTTGACATAAATCAGTAGTAAATTCTTGCCAAGATACCCTATCCCTTTGCATAATGTATCCATCAAACTACACCTCAGCCTTACCAGTAAGGTGCATAGGAAAGTACTTTTGGCAGTTGTTAATCCACCATCTCGGATTACTTCCATCAAAGGCTGAAAGTTCTATTTTTGGTCTAGGGGCATAAGCATTATCAGTATTTGAGCTATTTCCAGCATTAAACTTATTATTCTTGGGCTGTGTAGGGCTATTTTGAAAAAGATAACCAGTGTTTTCATGTTGATTTTTAGCTAAAATCCTCGGTTCATTACTCCTATATGTGTACTTCCCTTGATCATCAATAAAAGTAATTTAGATAGGCATCTTTTGTTTATTCTTGAGCTAAATCATAGGGGAAAGTTGGTTGCTAATAGAGTCCGAGGCACCTCCTAAAGCATATTGACCCTGAATGGCTCCTTTTATCGATAACAGATCAAGCAATTGACTGATATACCTTTGGTTTTCAGCTAGCTGAGCTTCGAGACCACTCTTTTACTCCAGCACCATGTTAATGCTCCTCTGATTTTCAGCTAGCTTAGCCTCCAGATTACCCCATTGTACAGTCTACCATTTTGGTTCTACCTCCATTTATTCCTAAAGAGCTTGGACCTATTCTTATAGCTTAGTGAATCGAGTTCCTTCTGCCATAAAGTTGTGTCTATTTTGCTTACCCAAATTGGATCTAGTAAGCTCTGATATGAAATCTGTTATGGAATGGGAGTGTTGATAAGAAAATAAGAAGAGAGAACAGGGAGACCAAAGTAGAATAAAGAATATACAGAGCAGAAAAGATTGATCTAGATTTCATTTATGCTGAAAATGGCATACAAAATTGGTTATATGCTTACAGCCTTGTTGACATCATTATTTAATTACAGAAAAGACAACCAATATAAAAAAAAAAATCACACCTATCATTGAACAAAACTACAGGCCATCATTCTATTTAATAGACTAAATACTAATACGCACCAATTCAGCAACAGTTATACCTGCTGTATGGAATCCTGCTCTATCTCATTTGACACCAACTTTGGACTGCTAGTATCTTCAACAATTTCAGCTCCTTCATGCAACTCAACGACACATATCAGCTCATCATCATCTCTCTTTTGCACTCCAGAAACAATCATTAGCTCATCACTATTTTGCCTTTCTGATCCAATTTCATTATCATGGCCACCTTGCATTTTCATTACATATTGTAAATGTTTACGTTATCTTCATTTGAGATGGCATGAAGAGCTCAAAGTAGGTAGAAAGCAAATTCTTAGGAAAACATAAAAAAAATGTAAAATGAAACTTTATCTAATCTTCAAAGATTTTAAGTTTTAGACAGGGATTTGATCAGTAGAAATATGAGTTTTGAAATCATAAAAAAGGGTGAAATAACGAACTTTTCGAGATTAAATAAAATGAACAAGAAAAAAATAGAAAAGATAAATAGTTTTACCTAAAGGCACAAGCTTTGAATTGATAAACAAATATTTCTAAAACGAGTTGTTCAAAGCGGGAAGGAGATGCAATCACTTAAGAAAGTGGGAAAGGGGGAGAGGCGTGAGAAAGAGAGTGAAATTGGGAAAGGGTAATAAAGAAAAAGACAGGAAAAGATTACAAAATAGGATTTAATCTTAGCCGTTGATTTTATTTGAATCTAACGGTTAAGAAAATGTGCAAAACTCACTAGTTTTAACTAGTATAATTTGATCTTCCCAATATTATATTACATAATACATAAATACGCAATAAGATCTGTCACGTGGGCGATTATATGAACAGATTCTATTGGCCAAACAAATCTCTATTTGAACTTAGAATCTCTCCCCGGCTAAGTTATGTGGAAGGAGCTTTTTGAGTTTACATTTGTTATTAGGGTTTCACTCAGGTTCCAAGGGGTCATAGGATTTGATCACAGGATTTGATCAACAGTGAGTTAGTTTTCAAGGTGAGTATAGTTTTTGTTGGCGAGTTTTTCAGATTCTTAGTTTCAGTCTGTTCTTCGTGCTGGAGATGGCAGAAGAGTTGGCAGATATTTGGAAACACCTAACCTTTACAGAGGAGGAAGAAAATAGTGTTGATGCTGAGGAAAGGAAAAGCCTGGTAGATGAGGGCGAGGAAGAAAAATGGGTGGTGAGTAAACTACTCACAAAAAAGCCTTTCAATAGAGAAGCTATGGTGGGAAATATGGAAACTAGCCAAAGAGATGCAGGTGACCAGCTTGGACAATCTCTTTTTATTCAAGTTTGCTGGAAAAAGAGATGAGGACAGGGTTGTAGATGGATCTCCATGGTCGTTTGACAAACATTTTTTGGTAATGGAAAACTACAACAGAGAGTTAAAGGCAAGTGAATATGGTTTCAATCACACAACTTTCTAGGTAAGGACATATGATCTTCCGTTGGGCATGATGAATAATAGCATGGCAAAAAAGTTAAGGAACAAGATTGGTTTTTTAAAAGGGTGGATGAACAGCGCAGTGGCTACGGGTTTGGGTGGAGGTGAATGTTAATAAGCCCTTATGTGGATTGGTTACCTTGAATAAAAGAGATGGAAGGGAAGCAACATAGAGGAGACTAGGATATGGGAGACTTCTCACCTTTTGCTACTTGTGTGGAAGGCTTTGCCACGGAGAGAATGAGTGTGATTTGGAAAAGGCGAATAAGGACAGAGCCAAGGGTGTTAAACAATATAAAGATTGGTTGAAGGCCTCACCAAAAAAGGTTTTCTGGACTATAGGTGGAATGAGGACCGAAGGAAGAAACAAATGGGGTTAGGGAAAGTCACTGAGAAGAACTAAAGAACGAAAAAATGGTGGTAGCGGTGAACGACGAACCAGAGGGGGAAACTGAAGCTGTTGGTATATGCAAAAAGGCAGGAAAAATAGTAATAAGGGAACTCAATATGGAAGGGAGTAAATGATACAAAGGGGAGCAGACAAGGTAAAGTCAATGGCTTGAATGAAGGTCTAACAATAAAAGGGAATATGGCTGGCAAAACTGATAGCATGGGAGTGATAGCTGGCAGTGCAGGAACCGATCAGAAAATGGCAAGAAATGCATGCATTAAGGCAATAGTGAAAGGTAGGATTTTTGAGGAAATAAAGGAAAGGGTGAGGCCAACAGAAACCAGCGTTTTGAATAAATTGGATGTGATTAGTACTGTTAGTAAAAACCAACAAACTGAATAGCAATGCAAAATCCAGAAGGCCACATGGAAGAGGAAAGCAAGGAATGTTGGTGCACTACAAGAAGTGGGAGAAAATTAAGATGGGGAAGAGAAAGATAACAGAGGAGCAAATGCAGCTTAACGCAATGGAAATAGAAGGCTAAGAGAAAAGGTCGAAGGGAGACCGAGATGGAGGTCAAACAAATTTTGTATTAACGACGGATATTGGATCCCAGTCTACCCAGAACAATGAGGCTACTGTAGGCTTGGGAACCCATGTATAATACAAGCTCTACAGTAGTTGATCAGAAGAGAAGACCCATATGCAGTGTTCTTATCGAAGACTAAGCTGTTTGAAAAAAAAGTAGATCAAATGAAAAAAAAAATACGGAATGGATGCATGCTTTGGAGTCAGTTCGAAGGGAAGGAATGGAGGACTAATGATGTTATGGAAGGAAGAAACACCGCTTAAGCTGCTGAGTTCTGGACAAATCACATAAACATAGAGATGGAAATCAAGGGAGAAGATGGAAAATAGAGAATAACTGGTTTTTATGGAGTTCCAAAGACTGGTAGGAGGAATGAATCATGGGAACTGATTAGGCAATTATCATAGGTTTCATCTACACCATGGTTGTGTTGGTTGACTTTAATGAAATAATGTGGGATCGTCAAAAAAGCGGGGATAGGTTACGACCAACACAGCAAATGGGAAATCTTTGTCATGCCATAGAAGATAGTGGGCTAGTAGATTTAGGCTTTGTTGGCAGCTGGTCTACTTGGGAGAGAGGAAGAGATACAAATGATTAGGGAAAGGTTGGATAGAGCCATGGGAAACGAAGGATGGCGCAAAAAATTTCCATTGTATATAGTGAAACATCTAAGAAAGTCGGTCTCAAATCATTGTCTGATTATGGTGTATGCAGATGGGAATAGAAGCAAGAGACAAGGAAGGCATAACCAAGAAAAGTTCTCATTTTAAGTTTGGTGGTCAAAGGAGAAAGGATGTGAGTAAGTCATAAAAGAGAGTTAAAGTAGTGTGAATCAACATGATATAATGGACAAAATAGTGAAGGTTGGTGAAGACTTAACTAACTGGCAAAAAGGGATGTTTCAAAGCAGAAAACAAGAAATAGCTAGGATACACAGAGAGTTGCACTATTACATAAAGGGAAGTCCAACAAATCAAGGGTTAGAGGAAAATAGGCAGCTCAAGGCCAAAATGAACAAGTTGCTCGAAGAAAAAGAAGCATTCTAGATGCAAAGATCGAGAATCAACTTGTTAAAGGATGGTGATAGGATGGTGATAGAAACATGGGATTCTTTCATGCATAAGCCTCCATCATGAAAAGGCGAAATTCCATTAAGGGGTAGATGAATCAAAATGGGGGGAAGATGAGGAAGATGTAAGGAATATTGTATAGGAATATTTTAGAAACTTGTTCACTTCACAAAGAACTCACCAATTTGATGACATCTTAGAAATAGTTGAAACCTGAATAACGGAAGAAATGAATAATTTCCTCTTATCAGACTTCAACATGAATGAGATTCTAAAGGCTATCAAGCAAACGCACCCTACCAAAGCACCAAGACCAGAAGGTATGCCTGCCTTTTTTTATAAAACTACTGGCATGTTATTGCTTCTAACCTTATTCAATTTTACTTGTCAATCCTCATTGGCTCAAGAGAGTTACGTAGCATTAAGAGCACTAATATTGATTTAATTCCAAAGGTTAAATCTCTAAGCCTTATAACCCAATTTCGCCCCATAAGTCCTTGTAATATCCTGTATAAGATTATAGCTAAAATAATAGCCAATAGATTGAAAATCCTCTTACCTTCTTATATTTATGAGTCACAGAGTGCCTTTGTACCTAGAAGGCTGATTACTAATAATGTCTTAGTGGCCTATGAGTTACTGCACACTCTAAAATCTAAAAGAAGAGGGAAAGAGGTCTCTTTTGCTCTAAAGTTAGACATGAACAAGGTTTATGATAGGGTAGAGTGAAATTTCCTTAGAGCTATGATGATTAAGTTAGGGCTTCCATGTTAGATGGGTAGGACTTGTAATGAGATGTATCACCTCTATTTTTTATTTGATTGTGATTAATGGTCATGCTACTAACAAATTTTGTCAAGAAAGAGGATTGAGGCAAGAAGACCCTTTGTTACCCTATCTTTACCTCACTTGTTCAAAAGGTTTGTCAACTGTGCTTGCTAGATATCAAAGGAATGGGCTAATGAGTGCAGTTCGGGCGAACCAACTTGGACCAAGGATCACTTACCTATTTTTCACTGATGACGACATACTATTTGCAAAGGCCAATTGACAAGAAAGTGAAAGGGTGAGATACCAAGATGGATCTGATCAATTGATAAATTTTGAGAAGTCTAGCTTATTCTTTAGTAGAAACACAAGTTAAGACCAAAAGGATGTAGTTATGGAGGTGTTCGACATCCAAGCTTTAACAGACCTGGAGAAGTATTTAAGGCTGCCTACTATGATAGGGAGGGGGGAAAAGAGCATTTCGGGAGATGAAAGAACGAGTCATGAAAAAGATTCAAGGTGGAACGTCAAGTATGTTATCCCAGGGCGGCAAAGAAATATTTATCAAGGCTATCCTACAGGCCATTCTGACATATGCGATGAATTGCTTTGAGTTACCAACAACCTTGTGTGCAAAGATTAATGGGCTAATCAATAGGTGTTGGTGGAGCCACAGAAAGATAAGAAGGGGAATGCATTGGCTAAAATGGAATAAAATGTGTGCTAGCAAGGATGATGGTGGAATGGGGTTTAGGGACATGGGGAAATTTAACCAGGCTCTATTATGCAAACAAGGGTGGGGACTGTTAAAGAAGACCTCGTCTCTAGCTAACTGGGTACTACAAGCAAAATATTTCCCTAATAGAAATATCATAGAGGTGGATCTAAGGAAGAAACCATCATTGACTTGGCGTAGCGTATTGGGTGGTCTTCAGCTGTTGCGATAAGAACTTAGATGGAGGGTGGGGGATGGAGAAATTATTAGACTATGGAAGGATGCTTGGCTGCTACTTAATGGATTGTATGAACCATTATCGATGAAAGGTGATATGGGAGAAGATGCTCGTGTGAGTGCCATAATAGATAGTGCAACTAAAAAATGGAAGCAGAACAAGATTCAAGACCTGTTTACCCCAAAGGAGGCTATAGTTATAAGGGCGATACCAATAAGCAGCTTTGGTTACCCTGACAAAATAATTTGGAAGCACACGAACACAGGCATCTACTTAGGCAAGAGTGGTTACCGATCCCTGTGCAACCGAGTGGCGAATGAGGATGCTGACGTTGGTGTGGATCCAGGAAAGCATACTTGGAGAAGGATTTGGTCTGCCAGAGTACCTAATAAGATAAAATGAGGAGGTTCACGAGGGAAGGAAAGGCACAGTAAAGAAAATAGCCAACTTTGTGGGCACCTATCAGAAGGAGTTTTTGCAAGCTCAACTGGTAAAAACCAATCGGCCTCATAAGCCTACAGAAGGATGGAAGCCACCAGGTGATGAACTGGTAAAAGTTAATTTTGACGGGGCATATAATTAAGAACATAGTACAGAAGGAGTGGGGGTTGTTATCAAAGATGGTGAGTGGATGGTTCTAGGTGCGGTTGATACTAGGCTAACTAACGCAATAGATTCATGGATAGTGGAAGGGTGTGCAGCGATGAAAGCACTACAGTTTGCTAAAGATTTGGGGTTTGCAAGAATTATGTTGGGAGAGCTGCTCAAAGGGTGGAGAAAAAGCTGAGGTACCATCATTAAGGTTGCTAAAGCTCAAATGAAGACATTTCACTACTATTAGATTACCCACACTAAAAGAATTGGTAACCAAGCAGCACATATTCTTGCTAAATATAGAGAGTTTAAAAAATGATGTCTTTTGGGTAGAACAGTGTCCTGAGATTATTTTATCAGTCATTAACTCAAATTGTAATCAAGTTATTGATTAATGAAATAGATCTATTTTTTTCAAAAAAAAAAAAAAATGAACAAATTCTTTGAATGACACATAAAGGAATACTGATTAAAATTTTTCAAAATAATAAAATGTCAAAAACCTTTTTTAAATTAAATCATATTAAATATTTAAACTATATAAATATTGATTTGAAGTTTCTATTTTTTATCCAAATAATCAAAATCCAATTATATATTATTCAAAATAATCAATAACAAAAACTTTCCAATTAAATTATTAAATTAAATTAAATATTTAGAATATATAAATATTGATTTATATTTAAATTCTTCTTTTAATCAACATATATCTAAATCCAATTATATATTATTCAAAATAATCAATAATAAAAAATTTTCAAATAAATCATTAACTCATATTAAATATTCTAAATATATCTAAATATATTTTTAAATTCGAATATATCTAAATCCATTTTAAATTTAACATTTTCTGTATTTGTATCATTTCATGTTCTTATATTTTTATTTAAATTTTAAAATACATTGGGAGTTTTTCAAGCATATTTTCATAATCTTTACAAGAAATAGAGTCCCCTTTTAATCTTCATTCTCGAATCTCAAAATCAACATTAAAGATTTTAGATAATCTAATCATTATCTTAAAAAGACGATTGATTTATAAAATCTTATATTTCAAAAAAAAATATTATATCTAAAAAAGTGTTATATGTAGAGTATAGTGTGATTATCAAGATATCCTAGTTTTAGATTTTTGTGTTTGATTAAAAAAAATCTATATTTATTAAATCATGTATTTTTATTATAATTTTCTTGATAACTTATAAGTAACCTTTCATTTTGTTTTAAAAAAATAGAACCAAATAGTAAATTATGCCTTTATTACGAAATGAAATAAAATATAAAATTTTATTTTTCAATTAAATATAATCAATTACAGTGTTTATAACACATTAGGTCATAATTGAGTTTTTAAAAATATACAACCAAACAGTCAATTACGACGTTTGGTTACATATGTGCCGTAATTGAGCCTACAAAAATATAGAACCCCTCAGTTATGTCATATCATTTTAATAAATACGGTAATTAATATGTTTTAAGAATTGAATTATGTTCAATTATGATATTTGTTGAATAGAAATGTTATAATTGAGTTGATTTAAAATTTAATTAATATATTTTTTAATTTGATAAAAGAAGCACAATAAGTTTAAAAGAATTTTTAAATATAAAATTAATTAATTAATTAGTAAAGATGATTATAGACGACATATATGAAAGGACAAACAAAAAGCGAGCCAGTTTGAGAAGACGCACGTTACATTAGTAGCGGTAAAATATTAAATTCAATTATAACGTTTAATGTTAACAAATGTCGTAATTGAGTTGGTTTAAAAATTTAAATAATTCAATTGTCGTGTATCATGATGTACCTAATAGAAACTATAATAATTGGTCAATTATAGCGTTTTTAAATTGTATATACAGCAATAGGCAATCATATTACAAATATTAAAATGTTTAAAATATTTTATCTCAACTCATTTTTTTGTATATATAAAAATATATATTTTATTTTTAATTTTATTATATATATTATATTAATAAAGTTATTAAGATATCATAATTTTAAAAATTAATATTTTAAGTTTAATACAAGTGTTCATGAAACATACTTTATAAAAAATTTTAAATTTTATTTTTGTTTTTTATTTTTATCTTTTTTTTTTTAGTTTTTAAATTTTTTTTTAATTAGATAAATTTTGTGAGAACAATAAAACTAACTAAAAAATTCACATGTTACTCTATTTGATTTTTTTATTTTTTATTTAAATAAATTTTATAATAAAAAAAAAAAACCCGCTACATTGGGACGAGTATTATGCTATTACTCTTTTTTACCCGTCAAATGATTTGACAAATCATAAAACTTTATTCAAACCTGCACCATTAATGCTTAGCTTTTAGTTTGCAACAAAATTGGTTTTCTAATGAGCGTTATTGCAGCAACAAAAAATCAATGGTTTAAATGTGACAGCTCACGAACAACGCATTGCAAAATAGAGCAATGAATATGATAGCTATAGTGTGAGCTTTCAACGTTGCCAATTCTTGATGGAAACACAAACTTACGAAAAATGGTGCAATCCAAGATCAAGATAAAATACTAAAGTTGGTTGGGTGACTCGTCCCACTGTCACCGCCCAATAAATGCATCATGGAATCCCCAGTATTTTGTCTTTCTATAGGGATATTTTCTTTCGGCCAATCGCAAAGGCCAAAATATGACCCATCAAATTACCAAACCATCGCTCCCTTGGAAAACTAGGATCTCCATCACCCTAATTTCCACCATAACTGATGCCGCCCTCCGCTCCGATGGCACCGTCAACCGGCGCCTCATCCGCTTACTCGACTTCCAAGTCCCTCCTAATCCCAAACCCACCAACTCTGTCACCTCCTCTGACACCACCATTGATGCTTCCCGAAATCTCTGGTTTCGCCTCTTCTCTCCCTCCCTCCCTTCTAATCTCCTCCTTCCTGTCTTCATTTTCTTTCATGGAGGAGGTTTCACCTTCCTCAGCCCGGCTTCCCAGGCATACGACGCCGTTTGTCGTAGGTTCGCCCGCAAGCTTCCCGCTTTCGTTGTCTCCGTTAACTACCGTCTCGCTCCTGAACACATCTACCCCTCTCAATACGACGATGGATTTGACGTTCTTAAGTTCTTAGACGACAACAGCGCCACAATCTTACCAGAAAATGCTGACTTATCACGGTGTTTCTTAGCGGGAGATAGTGCAGGTGCCAACCTGGCTCACCACGTAGCAGTCCGGGCTTGCCAAGCAGGGTTTCAGACATTGAAGGTGATGGGACTTGTTTCCATACAGCCATTTTTTGGAGGAGAGGAGAGAACGGAGGCGGAGATGCAGCTAGTGGGGTCTTTGCTGGTGTCTATGCCAAGATCAGATTGGTGCTGGAAGGCGTTTTTGCCCAATGGATCGAACCGAGATCACAAAGCGGTGAATGTGAGCGGACCCAATGCAGAGGACATAACAGGGTTGAATTTTCCGGAGACGATGGTGGTAGTGGGTGGATTTGACCCATTGAAGGATTGGCAGAGGAGGTATTATGAGTGGTTGAAAGCATCCGGGAAAGAAGCGAGACTGATGGAGTATCCAACCATGATCCACGCATTTTACATATTTCCAGAATTGCCCGAGGCTTCCCAGTTAATTATGCAGGTCAAAGATTTTATGACCAACTGTTGCTCCAAACTCCAACAAAATTGACAACTCTGGAGTTGCATTGGTATTAGTATGATATATATATATATATTTTATATTGTCTGGTTTAGGATATGAAAGCTGTCATAGCAGGCACTAAGCTAAAAGCAACGCCGAAATCCGAAATCTACTTGTTGCAGTTTGAATATTTGATCTAATAATAAAATGTATGAATTTTTAATAACAATATTGTCCAAAGCGAAGGACAATTGAGCGAATGAAGAATGCAATCGTCTCATAGAGAATAGGAAAAAATGGTTGAGAATTGGATGCGCGTGGGTTTTATGCAAACAGGCTTCTGATACATCTACCTTCTAAAGCCTAACAGGTGGAAATTACAAAGCACCGTTTATCATTCTGAGTTGTTTGGAGTTGGAAAATGCTACCTGGACCTTCGAGTAATAGTATTCGGGAGAATTATCCTTTTGTGTAATGCAGTAAGAATTATCATTAATTTTTTGGGTCAACAGAATACTCTCTAATTGCTATCATAAAAAAAGTAATTATAAGAAGAGAAATGTGAACTTTTAAAACTTGTTTTAAGTAAATGACATTTATAATTTTGATTTCACTAGTGGGAAATAAAGAAAATAAAAAAGATCCTACACGCTACAGTTGCCTCGCTAAAAAATTGGTGCACATGTTTTCTTTTTATTTTTTAGTTTTATATTAATTGATAAAAATCTCATTAATTTTTTTTAAGTTAAGCTTGAAGTCTTAATATATATATATATATATATATATATATCCACACACTAATTAAATCAAGGTTCAAATCTTGACATATATTGACATATCTTATTTTGATATTTAACAAATGTACATGTAATAGAAGCAAAATGTATAATCTATAAGCTATTTTCTATCTTGATTAAGTCATTGTTTAAATCTTAACGTATTTCATTTTGAACCCACACTCTTTCATCCTATCAAACAAAGCTTTGAACGATCGTATGATAGCTATTGCTAATTATGGAAAAAATTACTGAATATAAAGCGTCCAAATTGTCTGTGTTGAATATTATATATTTATATAAAATGAAATAATAGTATTTGTCATAATTTATCATTAGGAGACTCAATTAGTATATGTAAATATTTGAAAATCAAGAATATAGAGGGTCATCATCAATTTTTTTTAGGGTATAACTGGTTATCCAAAAATTTTATTTTTTTAATAAAACAACAAAATAAATTTAAAAGTTTATTAAAAATTAATTTTAATCTACGAAAATAAAATTGAATTTAGAAGTCAATTATATGTGAAAAATAATTAGCATTCCCACAACATCTCTAAAAATTAATACCAATTAATCATGCGTTATCTATAATTTTAGATAAAAATAATTTTTTATTTAAGGTTTAATAATAATTCCTTTCATTTAGAAGAAAAAAATCAATTAAAAATTTTTTATTTAAGAATTTGTAAAAAAATTTAAATTAAAAGAGTATTTTATAATTCTCCAACATATATACAGAATTTAAAGATAATATTTTTCATCAAAGTTTACCACAACATTCCTTTAAAAATTATAAAATAATATTTTTTGTAAATGATAATCGTTGGCAACTCTCTAACATCTAGACAGAATATCAAAAATTATTTTTCTCATAATGTTATTTTAATTTTATTTATTTTTTGAAATCAATTTTTCAAAGAACTTTTTATGCAGTAAAAATGAAAATGCTATAGTTAACCATAAACACCAATAACTACATATATATATATATATATATTTATGCTTAATGAGTGCAAATATTAATCTAAAATGTAATATATGCAAATGTGTGTCATAAGCGATGATGAAATGCGACTTCGGATCAAATCCTTAAATAGAAAAAGATTACCTAAACTCTCTAATTTCTAAATAAAGTTTGGATGCGATTATTTATATTTAAGATATTATTTTTATTTTTTATTCTTTATTTTATCTTGTTATTATTTTAATTAAGGAATTATATGAAAAATCTTAATGAAATAAAATTTCTTAAATATCTCATTTTTTAGGTAGCATTCAGGAATATATTACTTCACAAAAGATTTTTGTACAAAATCTTAAATTTTGGGATGATCTTGGGTTTTGGATAGATTTAGGGTTTCAACTAATGCTTTGATGTTTTGTTTAGAGTTTAAGGTTTCACTTAGGGTTTAGGGTTTTATTTTAGGGTTTCATTTAGGATTTAATTTTTAGGGTTTCATCTTAGGATTTTAGAAATTTACTAACATCTCTAAAAATCTTCAATATTTAGGTAGATTTTTAAAGTAAACTTATTTTTTTATGATTTTTCTAATAAATAAATTTTTATATTTTATATATTTTCTTTTTTAATTATTATTATTATTATTATTATTACTTAGCCTTTTATTATTTTTTTTTATTATTTAATAATTTTTCAACATCTAGGCATAATTAATTTAATTGAATTTTTTTAAGACACGATTTTTAATTCTCTCCAACATCTAAACGTGGATTTCAAAATCTTCTTTATCTTGTTGAAGCTTTGTTTGTTCATAATATTTTAAAAGATCTTTAAGAGAAATGCAAATTCCAATGAAAATATATGAATATGATAAAATAACATAAATATGCTAATTAAAAGGCTAATGTATGTATAATATCATTAATCACTCAAAATTAAATGTAAGCCAAAATAATCATATGATGGTAAGCATGATACCAACAGAAATAATAAAAGTTACAATAATAATGATATAAAAGATCATATAAACACTCATAAGCCTTAAGTTTTTACCTACTATTTTTATTTTTATTTATTACTATTTCTTTATTTTTTATTTCGTTAAATTTTTTTTATTTCTTTGTTTTTAAAACAACCTTGTTTTTTAACATTATTTCATTTTCATTTTTTTTAATTAGTTTTATGGTTTGCAAAATAATCGAATTTCACCATGAGAGCCCCAAACTTCTATGCAGAAACAACCTTAACCTATGTCTTGATCTAAAAGCCATTTAAGCAAGAACAAGAACAAAACTCTAAGACCAATTTTTTAGCATCATAGAAAACTCTTGCTTTAAATCTTTAACTTAGATTCAAACTATTATAGAAACTATCAACAAACACAAGCCTTACTTAGATTCACAAATTCCATGCAAGCTTGATGTATTAAGCAAATGCAAAGGAAAAAAGAAGGAAAAATAAAACAAGGCAAGCCCAATGTGAAACATGAACTTTCTATAAACAGAGTAAGCAACCAATAGAACTTTAAGTTCTGGCCAACCAACTTTACGTAGGAAAAGAAATACCAAGAAAACAAAAAAATGCAAAGGTTAAAATTTAAAAGGTTTTTGCAAACAATCTTTACATGAAAATGGCAAGATGACAAGACCCAACCTTTTAACCATTTTCTTTTACGACCCACTACCATGTTCTGTTCTAGAAACTTTATTTTTTTATTGAAGAAAACAAAACCTCTTTCACTATTTTCAAGTAATTTCAGTTTCAAACGAAAGAAAAGATCATTTTCTTATGATAAATAAAGGGAGTAAACCAAATGAGAGATCTTTAGCCCTTTGTGAGTCATAAACCGAACAAAATTGAGAATTTTCCTCCAAAACCATTTAAAAAAAAAAAAACTTGACAACCTTGCTTTTTTTTTCTTTTTGTTTTGAAGGCTTTCAGAAAAGATCCCTTTTTACAAGCACAAAGCATGAAAATCTAAAAAACAAACTTGAAACCTTTTAAGAAAAAAAATGAAACTACCATAATATGCAATCGGCAATCGAAGATGAAACTTAAAGCCTATGCAACACAAAAAATGAAATCTTCTCAGTAAAACAAAAAAAAGAACTTTTTTTTTTAGCTTTTCAGGTATCATTTTTTTTTTTTTGCTTTTTTTTTTTTGCTACAAGTTTTTTTGGTTTTACGCTCTTACTACTATTTTTTCGTTCCTTTCATAAATGTTTTTTTTTATGTTGAACCACTCCTCTTTCCTATTGATTTTCTTTGTTACTATTCAATTTTACCATTATTTATTTGTCTTGTTTTCTCTTTTCTTCATACAATTTTTTTTGTTGTAAGAGCTTCCTGTTGTTTATTGCTATTGATTTTTTTTTTTTGCTCTTCTTCTACTACTGTCACGACAGCTACTGCCTTTATGGAACACCTCTTTTTTTTCTACTGCTACCTAATTTTTTTTTTGCATTTTTGAATGCTTTTCCACTGTTACCTTTCACTTTATTTTAAAACCCTTATTCTTTTTCACTTATTTTTCAATTTCTTATGTTGCCACTTGTTGCTGCCTTCCTCTTTTTTTCTTTTGGTTCATGCCCCATTACAATTTTTTTTTCAGTGTTTTCATGCCAAACTAAGATCTCAACTTCCCATTTCATTCAGTTTTCATATAGTTTCATTTTCCTCATTGCCTATTTTTTTCATGCAATTCTTTTTCAGCTTTGGTTTTTTGGTTTCATGGCATACATGGCATGCATATTCTCTTTTTCACGTTAGCTACCTATTTTCATGCAAAATAACTAACAAGGCTGAATGGACCTTTTCATTTTTTGATCATGTTTGGTGGCCCATTCGGGCCTTTGTTTGTTTTACATAGATTTCATTTTTACTTGATTTTGGATCACATTTTTGGGTTGTAGACCCTATCCATTTGGGCTAAGCTTTTTGTTTTTTTTTTTTACTTTTATTTTTGTATATATTTTTAATATTTTTATGTTTTATTATTTTTGTTTAATGGCCAACAATGGATCATTAATGAGTTTCATTCAATTGTGTCATTTGAGTTTCATTTGGGCTCTTATGATATTATTTTGGGCCAAGCCTATTTTTTTTAATTCTTTTGGTTTTTTTGTTTAATGGCCAATAATAGGCCATTGATAGGTTTTAAATATGAGTATTTTATCAGGTCTTTTATTTTACCATTTTGAGCATTAATTTGACTCTATGCAACGGTTCTCATTATGGGTTCTGCATTGGGTCTCACATCACAGCATTTAAAAATGGGTTGTGTAATGGCTCAAAAAGTAATGGTCAGGGCCTAAT